TTTAAAACGGGCAACTTACAGTATATGTGCTTTTTTCTGGTATTGCATATTATAACTTAAAACTAAATGGTATAAAAAGGATTATGTTCAGGATTAGAATAATGGCATTGACAACATCCCAGGAATTCAAGAGAAACCCCAGTAACTCCTGGACAGTTTTAACAGGGACTTGCTAATTAGTTAAGACTCTAAATATAAAGGAGGAAGACACTTCACATCTGCTTTTGCATCAGTGAGAAACAGGAGCATAACAGGCCAACTTCTTTTCCTTTCCAGCGTCCTCAGTTGTTCAGTTGCAAAAGCACCATCTAGTCTGTTCAGTTGCCTACTGCTTATATATGAGAGGAAATTGTTCCAACCAAATGATACATGAAAATGCTTACATCATAAAAGAATTAACTAGTATGATGTCCTTCAACAGGTACTAGCCAGCCAAACTGATGCTGAAGAGGAAAAGCCAAGCCTAGTTCCTATTACAACTATTGGGTAGAAAGAACAGGATTAGGCTGAGCATGAAAGAGCAAACTGGGGAAGTGGCTGTTTCAGAATGACATTATCCTTAATTTCCTTAATCTTCACATCATTTAGGATTAGTCTGGTACTTTAGAATGACAGATGCATCTAGCAATATAAATTATGATTATTTTGGTATATTTGAGTCAGTATAAAATTATATACTTCATGTCTCTTATTGATATATACATGCAGAAGAAAGTATGTATCTCAACTGAGTGAATTTATTGTATCATCAAGTGGCATACAACCTTTGTGGCTTGGCAGCCTGGTGGGGGGAGGGGAACTGAACTGCACAAGCAGTGGGACATTGTGCATGTGCATGTGTGCACAGCTCAACTTGTGTAAATTGAACTGCGCACACATATGCACACACCCTGGCGCAGAACTCACACAAGTCAAGCTGGGCATGCATGCACCTACACCAGCCTGCCACTTGTGTGGCCTGATTGCAAATAGACCACCGCATGGTAGTAGACCATGGCCCAGGGATTGGGGACCCTTGGTATACAATATACAAAGATTTTGTTCACTTTATTCAATTTTATTCCAAATGAATTCATATCAGCCCACAATACACCAAATAACATTAAAAACAATATAAGCAATAACAAAACCAAATTAGAACAGAAGAAAAAGAAATAAAAACAATATGACAAACCTGATAAAATATCACAAAGCATCATATCTAACATTTAACAAAGGGGGCTCCAGATACTAACCCAAACCCTGGCAGAACAGCCAAATCTTTATGGTCCTCTGGAACATCAACCGGATTGGATCTTAAGTAGAACTTTATTCTAGACAGCAGTGCTGCAACAGGGAAGCTGCACTTCCTGGGTCTTGATATTATTTAATTAAAGAAACCCATAGAGTTCCAAACTTGTCATTTTGAATTAATTCATTCAGTATGGTGATATCCTAAATGGTAATGCACTATATGTACAATAGGAATGGTTTGAGTGAAAAATAATCTCACAAATGGATTTGGCCGCACGGTCATGTAGTAGTAGCATGCAGTTATGTCACAAGAAAGTAGCCATGCTGCCCTAATGTCTTTTCAGAAGACTATAGAATGTGGAATGGAATGAGGGCAACTTTGGAGAAAGCAACTACACACTTGGTATCTGAGTGCAATCATTTTCACTTATGGCAAAGGGAATAATCATATTGAAGGCTTAGTCTGAAATCTGAACTGAGACTGCATTTTGCATTCCATAGAACTGAATGTTCTTTATAAATGATTTCACTGCTCAGAAAGCCAGATATTGAGAAAATAATGCCAGCCTTTGATATACTAACTAGAAATTCTGGTTAGGAATTCTGGTTAGGCTAGGAATCCAAGTTACTTGGATAACACATATTGCAAAACACCGATCAAAGCCAACAACAGCATTTCCTTCACTAGAGATCATGGAGACAGACCAATAGACAACAAATATGTAGGATCTTTAATGACCAGCAAGGATCTAGGCAGGCAGTCCAAGGTTATATTTACTTTTATGTTACAGGTTGCAAGAATGCAAGCAATTACCAATTTGTTCATGTTACAGATGTTTTCATTTTGTTTACCACTAGAACAGATCATTAAGAGAATCTCCCACAAAGCATGCAACTATACAGTAAATTAATAATAAACTGTGGATTACCATAGGACTCATTTTTTCAGCCTTCAATTATGTATTATTTATATTTTAGTTTAAACCCAAATGTAAAGAATTTTTAGAATTGTTAAATCAAAATGCTGTGTAAGTGTATGAAAAATGATTAAAGCTGGATAATAAAGACTGTGAAAAACACAGGTTTGGTTTAGATTAAATACTCCTTGGATCTTCATATATCTGAAATTGAAAATTGATCTTAATCTTTCATTACCAGATATAAAATGAAAATAGAGAAAGACCAGAATCAATTTTTCTGATGATCAATATTTTTTTTAGTGGTTTAATAAGATAAAAATCAATATGGTCATGTTATATAACATGATTTTTGCCAGCAGTAACATTCATAAAAGCATAGTCAGAAAAATGACCTGGATTCAGAAACAAAAAAGTTAAAGCTTTTTTTGACTTTGCCGGTTTGGAACTGGCTAAAGCATAAAAGAGAATAGTCAATATTTCCTCAACTTATTTTTTTTTTCTCTCTCTCTCTTTTCAAGTTTAAAACTGAAGGATGAATCTACATCAAATCACATTGCTTTATTTGTGCCCAAGAGAGATGTCTTTTCTGTGCAAGAGTCAGCTGAGCATCAGATTAGATTTGGTACATAACTGCATTTGTAGATCCAGATAACTTAGGTTGCTTATTTATTTACATTGTTGTGATATGTGCTAGACCTTATGAATAGTGCTCATATATGGTCTACCTAACTAGTTTTTGTAGTGCAGCCATCCTTGTGCTGAGGCAAGAACCCTCCAGAAAAAGAAAAAAAAAAATCTCTGAAATTCTATCCCAAAGGTGCTTTTTCAAGAGGCAACTGGACTTTCTGGTTCTTTGAAGACGTTCCGCTTCTCATCCAAGAAGCTTCTTCAGCTACTTGGATGAGAAGCAGAACGTCTTCAAAGAAAAACCAGAAAGTCCAGTTGCCTCTTGGAAAAGCACCTTTGGGACAACCATGACCTGGATGACTGAGAATCCCTATAGACCTTTGAAATTCTATTTATTACAGTGACAGACTTTTAACATGTGCTTAATATTTCAACGTTTTTAAATGGATAGCATTGTAACTTCTTTTTTAATCAGTTTTAAATAGTTTAAATGAAAGCTCTAATGGACAAATAAGATGAATTAATAAATGTTTACTTAATCCAAAATTTAAAATAAGATGCATTAAAACCTTCTCACCATTTTTTTGTAAAATTTGAAATTTGAAAACATTGTTCTCTTGAACTGAATTAAACTTGCTCACGATCACTCTTGCCTTGGTTACCTCCCATTTGGATTATTGCAATACACTTTATATGAGATTGGTGTTGAAGACCACCTGGAAACTTCAACTGCTCCAGAATGCAGACATGTAGTGGGAACTCCAAGGTATCCTCATGTAACACCTTTATGTACAAGTTGCACTGGCTTCCAGTTTCTCTTGGAACATAATTCAAGGACCTGGTCATTACCTTTAAAGCTCTATATGGTACCGGGCCATATCTCTAAGGACATCTACCAATCCTATGAGGTCATATAGGATAGGCACGCTCCTAGTCCTTTTCCCTAAATATTGCCATCTGATGAGAGCTAGAAAGCGTGCCTTTGCCGTGGTCCCTGAAGTTTGGGAGACCTCTAGCCTCTAAACCTCCTGTAAAGTTTTGGTGACCTGGCTTTTGCCATAAGTGCTAAAGTGGGATAAATTTGAATAATTGCATGTTAGAAATTTGACTTGGCACCAGGTCTTTTTAATGTTTTCATCTGTTTAATTTATAGTTTTCATATGATTCTATATGTTGTTTCAGTTTTTGATTGGAAGCTGCCCAGAGTTGGTTAGAAGATAATGGCTATATAAATGTTTTAAATAAATAAACTAAAATCATCTTGAGTGGAGAAGACTATATAAACATATGCAACCTGAAGCTCCTAAGAATCCAAATTGGGGGATAGATTAAATTATAAAATGTGCATCACAATACGCAAATTTGAATCCAATTATCTTTGTCATTTTTTTTTTTTGTCATATGTTTTGAACCTGAAACCGGTGGTTTTAGTAAAATTCATAATGAGTCATCAGATCAAATCTACATCTAGCCCAATAACTTGTTCCAATAATGAGAAAGGAGATCCTCTTGAAGAATTAGTTATTTCGGAAAATTGTGGTTTAAAGTTAGATAGGAAATTAAGTAAATAATTTTTATAAATCATTACAGACACCCTACCCCATTTTTCTTTTAGCAACTGATACTCACAAATTTTATGCCACTGAACACAGAGATTCATGGTATTCATGGCTAATATCCAATTATCCATGTCATTTCATTTATTGTATAACCCTAATGGTTTCACATTTCAAAAAGCTCTTCTGTGGTTCAGTTCTTTTCTGGAATGCAAATATTTTCCTGCTATTAGTTTTCCCAATCATCTGCAAAGGGGAGGTTGGAAACTTAATTAATGGACAATGACTGGGTTAGGACTTGATCTAGGTGATCCACAATGCAGTCAATAACTAGATTAGGTCATAACCAATGAGAATTTAAATTGATTTTGAGTTTACATTATATTAAGAATATATTTCATCATAGAACACCTTTCCATATATAATCTATATTCTTGTAAAGGTGCAAATTTCATGTACATTCTGTTTTGAACAATCAAAGCAACACTAAATTCAATGGAACTTATAAGTAAGTGTGAATACATTCAAAGGATTTAAAAAACCTTAAACCATATTTTAATGTCTCAGATTTGGCTTGTGTCTGCTTTACTTGTTATATCATAGCTTGTTTATCATTTGTTTTTGCATACTTTAAGCCTGCATCAGCATTGTCTATGTGTTACAGGGCAAGCACAAACTTCTTGTGAACACTGGACTTGAAGGGAAGTGGTGTGGTCTAATTCCAGTTGGGAATCCTTGTGAATGTGTAACAACAACAGGTCTAAAATGGAACCTCAGTAAGTAAGATATCTTTTTTCTACTCTATAAAATATAATTTTATTAATTAAAAATATAATTATAGAGGGATAGAATCTATATTATGTGAAGTTCTAGTACCACTTTACAAAGCCTTGGTAAGACCATACTTGGAATACTGCATCCAGTTCTGGTCATCACAATATAAAAAAGATGTTGAGGCTCTGGAAAGAATGCAGAGAAGAGCAACAAGAATGATTATGGGGCTGGAGCTTAAAACATACAAAGAACAGTTATTGGAATTGGATATGTCTAGTCTATTGAAAACAAGGACTAGGGGAGTCATGATAGCAGTGTTCTAATATTTGAGGGGCTCCTACAAAATCAAGGGGCTATTTTTCAAAGTACCAAAAGGCAAAATGAGAAGGAATGGATGAAAACTAACCAAAGAGAGAAGCAACCTAGAATTAAGGAGAAAATTCCTAACAGTTAAAGCAATCAACCAATGGAACAACGTGCCTTCAGAAGTTGTGAGTTCTCCGTCACTGGAGGCTTTCAAAAACATACTGGACAACCATTTGTCTGAAATGATATATCCTGCTTGAACAGGGGGTTGGACTAGAAGACCACCAAGGTCCCTTCCAAATCTATTATTTTATGTTCTATAATACTTCATTTCAAGTAGGTATGTAAGGAACTATATGGTTTTAGTACATTTGGTTAACTGTATATTACAGATAGCATTCCATTCATATTAATTAATTAATTAATATTACAGTATTCATTTTGGGGAAATTGCATTTTGCCTAGAAACAGTTAATTAGAGAAATCTTAAATATTTGAGGAGAAGGGCAAGAAAGACTAGGATAATTATAGTTCTGTTTGACTGGGAAGAAGGCAATATTCGCTCCTAGCCAGTATCATCTTTTTTTCTTTGTCAAGAAACTTTCAATGACAAAGGTTATAAGTACTCCCAGTCCTCAGCAAAGCTCATCACTCTTGTCATCCAGAAGGGCCTAGGAAAAGGATAGTCATTTGTATAGATATAAATGAATACATATATTTACATTTATAGATGGAAAACAGACAAGTAAAATATTTGATATTACTCACATGTATATTTAGGGGGAAAAGAGGATTAGCTGATTTTAAATATTTAGCATACTTAATAGGAACGTGTTTGTTTTCCTGTTTGCTGCAATCCTTTTTAATCATAACAGTGTTGAATAGGAGGGAAAATAAACCATTTGCCCCTTTCACTTCATTGTATTTCAGATGTTGGAAATGTTGCAGGATTCCTATGGAGTAGAACTTAGCCCTCTCCTTCCAAATGGGTTTCAGTTGCATAAAGATTGGTAGCCAGTTTGGTTTAATGATTGAAGCACCAAACTAGAAACTATGAAACAGTGAGTTATAGTATCTCCCTAGGCATGAAAATCAACTGGGTGACCATGGACTAGTTATTTTCCATTGCGCTGCTCCTCCAATCCATGGACGGGTAGTTGCTGGGCAGAACTGAGTGCTGATCACTTCCCAATGACAGGCCACGCCCACACTGTCCAATCAGCTTCAGTCTTTCTCACTCAGTTGCTGTGAGAACTGTGTTCAATTGAGTGCTCTATAAACAATTTAATTCCTTCCCTCAATTTTTCCCTTATTTTATTATTTTTGTTACTTTGCCTTCCCTGTTAAGTTAATAAGGAGCTGCTACGTTGGATTTTAAAGCTGCTTGTGCTTAGACGGATTTGAAGCCTTCAAACCGTTTGGCCTACCTCCCCCCTCCGTTCGGGCAGCAGCGCACCGGATTCCGACCCGGCTGGGCGGGTCCGTGTTGCCTCAGCCGCTGGCGACGTGTTGGTTACCGGTGAGCCGGTTATACTGCTGTCGCCCCAGCTCCGTCTACTGAAGCGGCTCCGGAGTGCCTGCCGGCTCTTTAGGCAGTCTCCGCTTTGATCGGCCAGCTGAGAGGCGCTTGGACTGTTTTAGCGCGCGCAACCTCGATCGCCGGCACAAGCGCTTCCCTTCATCGTTGGAGGCTGCAGAGTGGCGCCCGAAGCCCCTATCTCCCAACTTCAGCAGGGAGCCTCCCGTTGTCGCTGGAGTCTGCAGCCAGCCTCCCGACTCCTCACGAGGTATTCCCTGCAACTGACGGCCGCCATTTTGACTCGGGACTCTGACAAAGTGGGGCGGCCACCATTTTGAACAGCACGATTGCTGCCCTGCTGGCCTGTCAGTTTAGCGTGACAAAGTTTGTTGCAGCCAGACTTACCTGGTGGCTCCTGCCTCAGCGTAGCTGCGAATTTGGCCTTTATATCGCCCTAATTTTGCTTACGTGACAGCTTGGGCTATAATTGGACTATTGTTTGGGGCTTGAGCTCAGCGGCTTCTCAGCCTAATTTGACCCCTAATCTGCTTCACTGCGGGCAACACTCCAATTGGCAAGCCTCAGTGCGGTACTCCTGTTTGGGCTGCTAGTATTCAGAATGGCTGATTTGGCATTATCTTCTGATTCGGAGGACACCTGTAGTTACCCACAAGCCCAAGACAAGTCACGCTCCAAAAAGTCTAGGTCCAAGCCTCGGAAAGCTCATCCCTCCTCCAAGTCTTCAGCTTCCAGCAAGACAGAACAGAGGAGACATGGAGCCTTAGAAAGGCAATTTGAGAAGGCCCAACAAAAGCAGGCATCACTGCAGGAGCTGGCCTTCCCTTCAGAGGACCGTGCGGGTCCTTCTAGAGATGTGCAGGCCGGGTCTTTTTCTGGAGCTTCAACGGGCTAGCCGCTTCTAACTTACAACGCTCCAGAGGGGTGTCGATGTCTTTGCCAGATGTTTCCATTCAAACAGTATCTGGGGGCTCCTTGGGCCGTAAGCAATTGCTGGAAGCTACGTTTACGCCTACCGTGGCAGGGCTCCATCCGGAGGCGGTGGACAATGCTGTGAGCTTCCAATCTATGTTATCAGACGTCTGGCAAAAATCTTAGCGGCTGGTATACAGCAAGAGGCTGCAAGGCCTGTTACCCCCGTCCTGGTTCCTGTTCCTCCTGCACAGCCTTCTGCTCCAACCATTGAGACTGTTACCAATGTCAGCAGGCGTCAACCTGTCGAATCGTCTTCTGAAGAATCAGAAGAAGGTGAAATTTGCCCGGAAGATGTCGAATTTTCGGAGGATGAGGGTCTTCCCCCCGAGAAGCCCGCCTTCACGAACCTATTCCGTCCTTCCATCTTCAAATCCTTGCTGCATAAGGCCAAGGTGGCCACAAAATTTGGCATTGCTGATGCGACGACTGACAAGGTGGGAGAGTCTTCGGATCCTCATGATTCTCTTTTCCACGTGTCCAAACAGGATCAGGATGTGATTCCTTGCCCTCCTTTGTTCTCCAATGTCATTAAATCTGCCTTTGGCCAGCCAGGTTCCCTTACAGCTCCAAGTGGCCTCGACAAACGTCTTTATGCTGCCGAGTCGGAGTTGGAAGAGGTCCTTGCCATTCCTGCTGTGGACCCTCCAGTCGCGGCATTGTCCGCATCTTCCATGCTAACTTCGGATGTTGTGGATGGACTCAAGGCGGAGGACCGCAAGATGGAGCTGGGATTCCGCAAAGCGCACCAGGCGGCGGCCTGGGCCATTAAGGTAGCCACGGCTACATCATTTTTCAACAGGGCTTCCCTGATCTGGCTCCGCCAGCTTCAGGAGAGGCTCCCCCCTGCTGATACCAGGCTGCACCAGGACATTAATAAATTAGTGGCCACAACGGAATACTCGGCAGATGCCTCCTTGACCGCGGCAAAATTTGCAGCAAGGGCCATGGCGGCTGAGGTGACCAACAGGCGTCTCTTCTGGCTGCGCAGTTGGCGCGTGGACAACAAAGCTAAGTAGAAATTGGCATCAGCGCCATTTACCGCCCCTTCTCTATTCGGCCCCTGCCTAGAGCCGATCTTGATTGAAGATAAGGATAAGCGCAAAGTGCTTCCGTCCTCCTACTGCCGGTCTGAGCGGAGATATGCACCTTATACACAACGTCAGTCCTTTCGATCTTACTTGGGGTCTAGCGGGCCCTTCTACCAGCGCTCTTATGCCCAGAACCCTGACCGTGCATCGGACAGACAGCCATTTCGTGATAGGGCCAGGAACCAGCCCCAATCGAAACATCCCTTCAGGGGTGCCACCTATCGGCCTGCTCGCAGAGGCAAGTGACTCACTGGTCACGGGTCCCATAGGAGGTCGACTCCAGCACTTCTACCGCCAATGGGACCTTTCAACATCCGATGCTTGGATCCGCAACTCAATTCAACATGGCCTTCGCCTCAAGTTCCACACCCTGCCGCCCACCAATTTTCGTCGCTGCCCCATTCCTCGTTGTCCGGTTCAAAGGGGGCTCATGGAAGCGGAGATATCGCACCTGCTCTCAATCAGAGCCGTGGAACCTGTGCCCAGAGGTCAGGAGCGAACTGGATTCTACGCTACCTTATTTCTGGTGCCCAAAGCATCGGGGGGCCACAGGGGCATCTTGAACCTGAAACGACTCAATCAGTATATACTGTATCGCAGGTTCAAGATGCACTCTCTCAGGTCAATTTTGATGTCCATCAGACAGGGGGACTATCTTCAGTCTGTAGATCTGTGAGAGGCATACTTGCATGTCCCCATACACCCATTGCATCATCGCTACCTCCGCTTCGAATACAACAACATGCATTTTCAATATTGCGCGATGCCTTTTGGTCTCTTATCGGCCCCCAGGACATTCACGAAACTGGTCACGGTGGTCGCGGCTTCCATCCGGTCTCAATCTGTCCGTCTCAGCTGTTACCTCGACGATTTACTGGTTTTGTCAGCCTCCCCGTCGCAGGCAGTGAAAGACATGGAGGTGGTCCTGCAGGTGTTCCAAAACCACGGTTTCTCCATCAACCGACAAAAGAGCCATCTGACACCTACAACACGACTCCAACACCTGGGTTCAGTGATCGATTCTCAACTGGGGCAGGTGTTTCTATCCCCAGATCGAGTTCAAGACATCAGGACTATGGTGCGGCAGGTTCAATCT